GTGAAGGTTAATTCTTTGTTAATATTGTGTTGTGTTTTATATATATATATATATATTTTTTTTTCCCCTTAATGTGGTTCGATCTGAGGATCGAACCCAGTGCCTCGCGCATGCCAGGCGAGCGCGCTACCACTTGAGCCACATCCCCAGCCCTTGTGTTGAATATTTTTGCATGTACATTCATGAGGAATCTTTTAGTTTTCTTATTATTTGTACTTCTTTTTCCCCCTCAGGATAATTCTGGCTTCATAAAACAAGTTGGGAAATATTCCTTCTTCTTGTATTTTCTGAAAGAAGTTAAAAAGTGGGTGATTTTTCATCTTTAAATTGTTTATGGAGTTCTTTGGTGAAACCATGTGGGTCTGGAGATTTTTAAATTTGTATTATTAACTACATATGAAGTTTATTTAATAATTATTCACATTGCCTAAGGCATCAATGGGAAGTTTTGGTAACTAGTGGTTTTTTAAGAAATTGATTCATTTTATCCGAATTTTAAAATTTATGTGTATAGAGTCATTCCTAACATTTCCCTATTACCCTTTTAATAATTGTAAGGTCTGTACTGAGATCTTCTTTCCCACCTTATATTAAGAATTTTTATCTTTCTTCTTGGCCGTAATAGAGATTTCTAAATGTTACTCATCATTTCAAAGAACCAGCTTTTGTTTTCATAGATTGTTGTCTATTTCTTTTCTGTTTTCTGTGATTTTTGATTCATCATAATTTTTCCTTGTGTTTGATTCTGGTTTATTTTCTTCTTTATGTTCTAGTTTCTTAATATAGACACTTAGATTATCGACCTGAGATCTTTATTCTTTTCTAATATAAGAATTTAATGCTATAAATTTCCATCCCAAAACTTCTTTAACTGCATTCCACAAATTTTGGTATTGATTTTCACTTTCCTTCTGTTAAAATATTTCCCAATTTCTCTTGAGACATCTTCTTTGACCCATGGATGCTTCTGGAACGTCCTGTCTGTTTTTCAGGTGACAGAAGATTTATTTTCCTGCTAACTTTCGGTTATTAACTTCTGGTGTAGTTCTATGTGGTCAAAGAATGTCATTTTGTATGATTTCCCACTTTTTCAATTTCTTGTTTTATGATTCATGAGACAGTGTATCCTGGTGACTAGTCCATGGGGATGTAAAAAGGATTGTTTTTTCACAGTTGGGTGAAATGTTACAGAAGTGTTGATTAGATCCATTCAGCTGGTGATCTCCTTAAGCTCTTCTATATCCATGGTATAGATCTGCTACATCCTTGATTTTCTCTTCCTAGTTCTATTTGTTACTGAGAGGGAAGAGCTGGTCTCTACCTGCAGTTGTGGAATTATTTCTTCTCCTTTCTGTTCTGTCAGTTCGGGTCACGTGTTTACCATTCTGTTGTGAATACACACTTAGAACTGTGATGTCTTCTTTGTCATCAACCCTTTCATCAATATGAATTCTGAAGTTTGTTTTATCTGATGCTAATGAAGTCGTTCCAGGGTTCTTTTTATTAATGTTTACATAGTATATCTTTTTCATTCTTTTACTTATAACATATGAATTTCTTTATATTTAAAGAGAGTTTCTTGTAGAGAGTGCACAGCTGGGTATTTTTTTAAACCTAGCTTGATAATCTCTGTCTTTTAATTGGTGTACTTAGATAATTTAAATATAATTTAATTAATAATTTGATGTAATGAAATTAATGATGTGTTTGGGTTTGGCATACCATCTTATTGTTTGTTTTCTTTTTATTTTGTTTCTTTTTTTTTACTTTCCTGACTTCTTTTGACTTCTTTAAACATGTTTAGCATTCCACTTTGAGTTATCTATTGATTTTCTACTACATCTCTTTGCATAGTTTTTTAATGGTAACTTTAAGGATTACAAAATGCATAATGTACTTTTCACAGTGTACATGGAAACAATATTCAAGAAAATATTTTTTAGTTGTAGATAGACACAATATCTTTATTTATTTATCTTTATGTGGTGCTGAGGATCCAACCCAGGGCCTCACACGTGCTGGGCTAGTGCTCTACCACTGAGCCCCAGCCCCAGCCCTGGAAATGATATTTTACCCCTGGAAACCTTACCACTAATAGGTTCCTTTATTCTCCCCCACACTGTGTTATAGATGCCACATGTTACATACACATTCATTGAAAATCCTTTAAACAATATTATTTTTCTTCTTTCAAAAAATATTATTTTTCTTCTTCTCTAAATAAATTTTAGAGAAAAGAATAGTTGATTTTATGTACCTAGATAGTTAACCTTTCTGTTGTTTCTCTTTGTTCCTGACGGTCTAAGTTTCATGGTATCATTTCTCTGTCTCAGGCACTTGAGTTAGCCCTGGTTTTTAGGTAACCGGCATGAACTTTCTTAGTTTGGCTACATCTGAGAATGTTTTTATTTCATTTTCATTCCTGAAAGATATTTATTCTGCATTCAGAATTCCAGGTTGACAATCCCCTTTTGTCAGAACCTTTAAAATACCAGGCTACTTCCTTGTGACCTCCATGGTCTCTGATGAGAAATCTGTCACCATCTCTCACCGTCTGAATTGTTCCCATGTCTGTTTTCCTTGGGCTTCTTTCAAGACCTTTTGTTAGTATTTCGTTTTTAGCAGTTTGATTTTTATTTGTCTGTGCGTGGATTTCCGGGGTCTCTGACTTGGCGTTCACTCTGTTCCTGGAGGCTGGAGGTGTCTGTGTGGGGAGAGCAGACTGTCTCCTCTCCAACACTCGCACACAATACTCAGTGTTTCACTTCTGACACTAGACGTCTGAGTTTTTCCCCTGTAAGCAATCCCACTTCAGCTGGCGGGGCACAATTTGGTTCCCTTTGGACACTGTCTACCCAGCGAGAGTGTCAGTTCCCACAGGTGAGGGCTCTGTCCCACAAATGCCCCCCCATTTCAGATGCCAACCACAAGTGGTATGTTTGCAGGTTACCCACGGCTCTTGTCTTGGCCACAAATCCGTTTTCCTTGACCCTCTCCTTGGGCTCGCAGACCTGGGGGAACCCTTGACTAGTGTTGTCCTGGTTCTTACAAAGGATACAGCTCAGAATCAGCCAGCGGGAGGGGGCACAGGGCAAGAAGGTCTGGGAAGGGGTTCAGAGCCTCTTGCCCTCTCAGCGATCACCCTCCCACCCCCTGCGCGTGTTCAGTAACCCAGAAGCCCTGCGAACCCTGCCCTTTGGGGTTTCCTTGGCAGCTTGGTTAAGGGGCATGAATGATCACATCATCAACTGCCCCAGGGGTTACACCTTCAGCCCCTCCCAGAGATGGAAGTGGGATGGGGAAGAAAACATTCCAACTGACTAATCCTGTGGTTGGTTCCCCTGGCAACCACTCCTCATCCTGATGGCTCCCCCATCCGTCATCTCATTAGCACACAGAGTTAGGAGCTGTTGGGGAGCCGGGAGGAGGGCGTGCTTCAAAGGTCTCTTACCACGTCGCAGTGTCTTTGCTGGACTCGAGATGTTTTCAGCCGTTATTTCAAGAGTAATTTACATATACGGATAGGTCCCTGACGATGATAGCTTGACTTACAGAAATTTTTGAGGTTTTTTTGGGAGGAGGAGGGGTACAAGGGATTGAACTCAGGGGCACTCGCCCACTGAGCCACATCCCCAGCCCTATTTTGTATTTTACTTGGAGACAGGATCTCACTGAGATACTTAGTGCCTCCCTTTTGCTGAGGCTGGCTTTGAACTCGTGATCCTCCTGCCTCAGCCTCCCGAGCCGCTGAGATGACAGGCGTGTGCCACCGTGCCTTGCAGTTTTTGAGTTTTTGATGGTGCAAAAGCAATATGGACTCAGTAGAAACCATACTTTGAATTTTGATCTTTTCCCAGGCCAGCAATGTGTACTACTAGGTATGTAGTAGGCATGTTCCTAGAGTTCTAGGCTGGGGGCCCGGCTCCCGGGGTCCCAAGGAACCAGGCGTGGTTACTCCAAAAACCAAAGAGAGAAGATCAGGGTGAAAGGAAATCGTGATCAGTGTACCCACATCAGGAAGGCAAAGGGGCCTCTGTACTTAGCCTCATCTTCCAGATGCTCCCAGAGCTTTGGGTTTAAATAGAGGAAGAACCGGGGCAGGGGCGAGAGGAAGCATGTCCTCGGGCCCAGGTGGAGGCTGAGCATCAAGGCAGAAGTGTATGGTCGGGGGAAGCAGCTCTCATGGTGATCAGGAAGCAGAGACTCCGCTCACCAGATTCAAAATATAGACCCACAGCCACGTCCCCAGGGACCCTCCTCCTCCAGCCACCCCCCACCCCCATCCCGCTCTCAGTCACCACTCAGTTAATCCCATCAGGAGACTGATTCACTGATTGGTTAAGGCTCTCCTAACCCAACCATTTCCCCTCTGAGCCTTCTTGGGTCATCTCACACATGAGCTTTTGGGGGAACACCTCACCCCCAAACCATAACAGTTCCCATGAGACCGTTGCTCCTGTTTAAAGGGGCCGTCACATGTTGGGGTGATTGGCCGGCAAGTCTCCCGCTGTTCCTGAAAGGTAGAGGACAGTGACCCAGGCTTTAGGTGTCACTCCAGGGGTCAGAAGCTGGATGTTGTAAAAGCTGACTGTCATATATCCCTGCAAGTCTGCTTGAAGGGGGTGAGACAGATTAGGTAAATTGGGGGCCTATAAACCTTGTGTTACTAGTTTCTCTCTCTCTCTCTCTCTCTCTCTCTCTCTCTCTTTCTTTCTCTCTCTTCTTTTTAGTTATACATGACAGATGTATTTTGACAGATCATACATACATGGAGTATGACTTCCCATTCTTGTGGTTGTACATGATGTGGAACATACTGGTCGTGTGTTCATATATGAACATGGGAAAGTCATGTTGGATTCATTCTACTCTTTCCTATTCCCTTCCCCCTCCCTCCCTTTATTCTTTGTCTAATCCAATGAGCTTCTACTCTCCCCCTCCTTTTATTGTGTCTGAGTTTCCACATATCAGACAGAACATTCAGCCTTTGGTTTTGGGGATTGGTTTATTTCACTTAACATGATAGTGTCCAGTTCTATCCATTTACCAACAAGTGCCATAATTTCATTCTTCTTTATGGCTGAGTGATATTCTATTGTGTATATGTACCACATTTTCTTTATACATTCATCTGTTGAAGGGCAATTAGTTTGGTTCCATAGCTTAGATATTGTGAATTGAGCTGCTATAAACATTGATGTGGCTCTGTCACTATAGTATGCTGATTTTAACTCGTTTGGGTATATACCAAGGAGGGGGATAACCGGGTTAAATGGTGGTTCCATTCCAAGTGTTCTAAGGAATGTCTATACTGTTTTCCAGAGTGGTTGCACCCATTTGCAGTCCCACCAGCAGTGTATGAGTGTATCCCTTTCCCCACATCCTCGCCAACATTTGTTGTTAATAGTTGCCATTCTGACTGGACTGAGATGGAATCTCAGTACGGTTTTAATTTTCATTTTTCTAATTGCTAGAGATGATGAAATTTTTTCATATATTTGTTGACCATTTGTATTTTTTCTTCTGTGAAGTGCCTTTCCGGTTCTTTTGTCCATTTATTGACTGGGTTATTATTATTATTTTGGGGCTAAGGTTTTTGAGTTCTTCGTATAGCCTAGAGATTGATGTTCTGTCTGAGGTGCGTGGCCAAGATGTTCTCCCGGTCTGTGGGCTCTGTCTTCACGAGATTGTTTCCTTTGCTGTGAAGCTTTTTGTTTGACACCATCCCACTTATTGATTCTTGATTTGATTTCTTGTGCTTCCCTAGTTTGATCTTAACATGCTGCATGCAGAGCTGAGCAAAGTTTAAGGTCATCAAGGAGACAGACACCAAGTGAATGCACAGATGCCCAGTTTATCCTGCTTTTAGCAAAGGCAGCCTCGTGAGTTGCTGGAAGCCATTGTGTCCCCCAGCAGGGAGAGGTGAGCCTGAGAATGAGGACAAAATAGAGCCACGGGGAGCTGACAGGATAGGCAGAGACACATTCTTTCTGCCACCCTCTGAGCACCTTAGATCCAGCCACACCTGAAGCTACATATATCTGGACTTTTAAATGACACGTACCAACAAGTTCCATCTTTGTCATTTAAGTCTATTTAAAATTGGGAATTCTGGCTGCTGCAGTAGAGTCAAAACAAATAAACTGACCCTTCCATAAAATAATCTGTTTACATCTGAAGCGAGTTTGTTAGGGGAGGTTAGAGACCCCATTCATAATAATAGCTGACTTTATTGAACACCTATTACGTGCCAAGTGCTCTTTATTTTTTGCAGCTTGGAGGAAGGAAGCCGGGGCCAGGTAAGCTCTACCACTGAGCTGCCTCCCCACCCCCACTGCAGCAGCAGCTGCTGTTTAAACACCACCTGTGTGATCTCTTACAATCCTCACAACAGCTCTGCGAGGCAGCTACTAAAACTGACCGCAGTTCTCGATGCAGTCCAGAGAGCTTGGGCAGCTGCCTCAAGGCCACACAGGAGCAGGAAGCACCGGCAGGAGAGCAGCGTTGACCACCCCCTGACCGCAGAGGCTCTGAGCACTCTCCAAGTGTCGGGGAGAAAGAGAGGTCTGCTCCCCGGATTTCTGCAAGACCAGTTACCAAGAACCACCTCATGGCCCGCCTCGGCCAGTCAGGGAAGGCCTTCTTCATTGTGGACTATAGGTGGCCCACTTCTAAGTGCCCCCTCCTGGTCCTCATCCTGTCTCTGTGGTCACGGGTACGTTGGCTCTGTCCCCCACACCAAGACCAGAGATGCTGGAAGCGGCTGTCTGGGCCCCGAGTCTTCTCTCTGACCATGTCGCTCAGGCTGTTCTGTCGTGAGCTGATGGCCCCCACACTGACCCCTGACCTCACTTCAGAGATCATCTTGGGCTAAAGGGAAGCCATGAAACAGATTTCATTGCCAGTGCAGTGCTGCTGTCTCCAGCTCTGCCTTTTGACTTATTCTGGTCTCATCAGAACTTCCAGAGGCTGATTTTTGAAATGAAAGTGTTTTTATTTGGGGGTGGGTGGACAGGTACCAGGTATTGAACCCAGGGGCACTCGACCACTGAGCCACTTCCCCAGCCCTAGTTTATATTTTATTTAGAGACAGGGTCTCACTGAGTTGCTTAGGGCCTCACCTTTGCTGAGGCTGGCTTTGAACTCCTGATCCTCCTGCCTCAGCCTCCCGAGCTGTTGGGATTACAGGCGTGTGCCACAGCGCCCAGCTTGAAATGCAAGTCTTCTTCATTAGCAAAAGCCATGTCAGGAAGGGATGGAGCAGTCTCCTGCCTCCTCAGCTGTAAAGGAGATAGAAAGATCTGTACCATAAAATGAGTTCATAGAATCTTCTGGTGTGATGCAGTACAAAAGAAGGAACGGACAAGATCATCCCCAGTGCAATCCGAGGAGAGCCTTGCTCAAATTGTCTCAGCATAAAAATCAAAGTCCTAGTTTTGCCTGAAGCCACACTTGGCCTTGATGCTCACCACACCAAACTGGTCCCGTCATTCCTACTCTGTTGCCACCTCCTCCAGCAACATCGCTCAGATTTACCTTCTCTCTCTCTTGGCACAGGGCTTTGCACATGCTGTTCCTTCTCCCTGAAACACAGTTCTCTGCATCCTTTGTCTACTTAAATCTCCTCGTCCTTCAAGTTTCAAATTTCACGTCCCTAGGGAAGCCTTCTTGGGATCGTTTATATGATATGCTCTCGTGGGTTCCATGCTTTTCCATCGTAGCATTTATCATATTCCCGTGTGTTTGTGCCCCGCTCCTTAGGACAGAGCTCTGCCAGGGCAGGCACTGGGTCTTGGTCACTGCTGACCGGTAACGTGCTCACGAAATAGCATTTGCTCTTTTCTGTGATGTAATGTCTGGCCATGGCTGACGTCAAGCTGTGAATGCGATTTCACGCAACATTCCTGGAAAAGTTCGTGGGGGAGTGGGGGAGTGAGTGAGTGCCGTTAGTCCAGCAGAAGAGGCCCCTTGGCTGGCGCCTGGGCTCAGCGCACTGTCCACCCGACTGCAGCTGGATCTGAAAAAGAAAAAAAAAAAAGCACAGCATTTTACATCAAGTAAAATCTATTCATTTGAGTGTCTTCCAGTGACACCGGGATGGAATTTAATCCTCGCTGTGAAGGATTAAGACGTGAGACCAGGTAAGACAGTTAAGAGGCGACTGGCTCACAAGTGGGTTGATCCTTTCCTGGGTTATAGAGTCGGGGATCATCCAGGAATTCCGTGCCTGTAATTCTAGCAACTCGGGAGGCTAAGGCAGGAGGATCACAGATTCAGGGCCCGCCTCCCGGGGCAGCTTAGCAAAACCCAGCCTCAAAACAAAGAAATAAAAGGGGCTGGGGTGGGGGAGCTCAGTGGTTAAGCACCACTAGGTTCAGTCCCTGGTTAAAAATAAATGAATAAATAAAAAGAAGAAGAAGAAAAAGGAGGAGGAGGAGACGACGACGACAACTGTAGGCAGGAAAGGCCACGGCCATGAGGTCTCCGAGGGAAATTGGGAATCTTACTGGGAACTGAAGCAAAGGGCGCTCTTGTCCCACTGTGGCAAAGGCCCTGGCTGTGTTGTGTCCACACTGGAGGAAAGGAGGACCTAAGAACGGGGAGGGGGTGTCTGGTAGAGGAAACGTGTACCCAGCAGGCGTCAGGCCCCTGGAGACTCCCCATTACCTGGATTGTGAGAGGAGAAAACAGACTTAAAGGTGGGACGTGTAGACAGAGGGCGGCCCAGCAGAGCCGCTGGGAGACCCGGTCTGGCCGCGTGGCACAAAGTAAAGCAGCAAGTTTTAGGAGAAGATACCAGGAGTGTGGCCAGCGCTGCCACTTGTGAAGGGGACTCGTGGGGCCGAAAGGCAGCCGGGTGCCGGCATCAGCACCTGGGCCAAGGCCTCTGAGGGCTTCGGTGACTTCTGAGGCTGCGCTGCCCATCACAGGCCCCGGGGCCCAGGAAGGCAGCAGGGGCCTGGGCGCTCTCCAGGGGCTCTGCCCAGGTGGCCTTGACACTGCTCCCCCACCCCAGTGGGCACAGCCCGTGGTCACCCCGACGTGGCCCAGCTCAGGTTGTGCGGAGACTCTGGAGAGTGCAAGCTATAAAGCTTGGCAGATGTGCTGTGGGTCAGGGGGACCGGGTGTGACTCGTGCCACCTCCACCCTGGACGGCACAAGCCATGAGTGTTGGTGACCACATGGTGCTCATTATGCAGGTGCACGGAGAACAGAAACTGCCACCTAGGTTTCAAAGGACGCATCAAACAGCTTTCCCACCCAGGCAAAAACTGGCCACCGAGATGGACCCATGACAGTGCCCACCGAGACGATGCTCACTGCGGCCACGGGAGGGCAGCATGCCACTCCTCCCCGGGTACCAGTGCGCGACCCATGCGAGCTGAAGCACGCGCCACACCCAGCAGAGCCAATGGAGGGGGCTCCCCAAGGCCTTGGTGACCCCTCTTCCCCACCCCTACTGTGTTCCAGCTGCCAGACCTAGAGTTTTAAGGTTTAACATCTGCCCTGCTGGGTCTCAGACTTGCCTGGAGCCTGGGACACCTTTCCTACTGCCTCCATCTCCCCTTTGGAATGTGTGATAGTCTGTTTTTGTTACTATAATCAAATGCCCGAGACTGAGTGCTTTATGAAGAAAAGAGGTTTAGTCAGCTCACAGTCCAGGAGGCTCCACAGCGTGGTGCCAGCTTTGTTCAGCCCTGGTGGAGGCCTCATGGCGGGAGTGTGTGCAAGAGAGACAGTGAGAGAGAGCACATGGTGAGATGGGAAGCCAGAGTGAGGGGGGGGGCTGGCAAGTCACTGTCACAGAGCTAACTGAGATCCTCCAGATCTGCTCCATCCCTCCCGCAACCCACTCTGCTCCTCCTTTCGGGCTCCCACCACCACAGCGCAACCCACGGAGGCCTGAGCCTTGGAGGTGAAGCTCAAGCCACATCCAGGTCACAGCAGGATGGGGGTGACCCTTGGCCTGTCCACTGTGGGCCTTGGAAGCAGATAACTCGTTTTAGGTTGACACAGGGGAGGGCGTGGGTCTCAGGAGGGCCTGTGGCCTTTAATGCTGAGATGACTTGGGACTCTGGGGCGTGGGGGTGGGAGGAGACATTTTATATGTGAGAAAGACGCACGTTTCGGAAGCTAAACCCCGTGCAGCGGTTAGAGGTCTCCCCGATGTTCGTGTTGGAGGGTACCCCACTGTGGGGCCGGGGGGCTGTTAGGAGCTGATTGGGTCCTGGGGACTCTGACTTCAATGAGCACATTAACGGTGATTGAAGGAGTGGATTTGCTAGGAAAGCAAGTCCTCTCTGCTGGCTTGCTCTGTCACACCATGTGATGGCCTCTGCCATGTCATGACCCCCTGGAGGGCCTTCACCCAGAGCCCGAGCAGATGCCCACACCATGCTCTTGGACTTAAGAACTTTGAGCTAAATAGACCTCTTCTCTTCATAAGTTACCTGTCCGTGGTATTTAGTTATAGTCACAGAAAGCAGACCAAGACAGGAATATGCCAGGGGACAACTTTCCCATGTTCCCTGGTGTTCAACATGTCTCTAGTGGGCGGTGAGGGCTGGGCAGACCCTTGAGTAGTGACTCATCAGTGGTTCATGAGAGCAGTTTTTAAAAAATGAAAATAAGTACAAGAGGAGATATTTCGGAGCATTAGCGTTTGTCTCCAGTCACCAACACTAAGTGTGATTTTGGGAAATGTGTGTGTGTGTGTGTGTGTGTGAGTGTGAGTGTGTGTGTGTGTGTGTGTCCTGGGTTGTGATATAAAACAACTCTTTTACGTCCAATCAATTTGAAAGCCACCATGGTAGACGGCGATCTTTTGTAGTTTAGTGGCTTTGTTTTGTTTTCTGTGTCCTTACTTGGACTTTCCCAGGTCCCTGTCTCTTGCCCGCAGGGACCTGAAGGTGACCCACCGAGCTCCCAGATTGAGAAGAGGCCACTACGAGGGAGGCCTGACTTGGAGGCCGGGGACTTCCTCTTCCTGTCTGCCCCGCCCCCACCCCAGCTCTCAGCCCAAAGTGGTGGCGTCCTTGCCATCCAGGGGCCCCACCTGGTGACAGCGCAGGTGGGAGGGGGAGCACCGGGCCGGGCTTGCTGTCCCCATCCTCCCTGCAGGACCCTGGAGCTGAGGGGGGGCTGGGGAGGGCTGGGGCTGAGGCCGGACTCAGGCCATCAGGGAGGTCACGTGTCCTGCGGGAAAGCTCCCGGGCTCCCTCTGGCTGAGTGATGACATCGTAAATCAGCCCAGAACCCGCACTAGACGGCGCGTGTGTGTGTGTGTGTGTGTGTGTGTGTGTGTGTGTGTGTGAGAGAGAGAGAGAGAGAGAGAGAGAGAGAGAGAGGGAGGGAAGGAGAGGGAGAGGGAGGGAAGGAGAGGGAGAGGGAGGGAAGGAGAGCCCCATTTTACAGAGACAGAAAGAGCCCAGAGCGGGGACTGTCACACAACCGTGGCTGGAATCTGGACACTGCGGCCCAAGCAGATGACCCCTGAGAGTCCCCGGCATCCCTGAGGTGGTGACAAGATCTCAGCCGTCCTGGTGCTGATGACACGGGGACTCCTGGAGGACACCCACTATCAGCCGAGCGCCAGGCCCCGAGTCCCTCATGGGGGGGATCTTCGGTGGCTTGGGCTATTGTCACACTGATGGGGGGAGGAGACCGAGGGCGCCATGTACTGGGGGACAAAGGAGCAAGGCTGCCATTCGGTGCCTGGCAAGGGTCCCTGGGCTCCCGGGTCTCCAGAGCTCTGCGGACCTCCTCTGTGCCACCGTTTGTGGGCACCGGAGTGACAGCTCTGGCCACAACTGGGCCGTGACAAGACAGTTGCCGAGAGAGGAAGTGGCAGACTCCCCATGTTCTCAGGAACAGGTGCCCGGGCAGAGGGGACAGTAAGCACGGTGGCCCCGGTGGCCCCAGGTGGGAAAGAGCTTGTTACCTTGGAAGAACAGAAAACAGGAAGTGAGAATGGGGTGGGGGGACAGGGGCAGGTCCCCGCAGAGCCAGGCCAGCCTCTCCTCCTGCCCTGGGCAGCTGCTCACCGCCCCTCACAGGCCACCTTCCCTGCCATGTCCCCTGAAGGTCCTCGCCCAGCCGCAGCTTCCCGCCCCCCCGGCCATGTCCTGGCTCTCTGGCACTGTCTCTGCAGGGCCACCTGTGTGTCACCATGGATCTGCCTCGGCTCTGTCCCCGAGGTGCCTCGACTTCACTACCGTCCCCCAGGGATCTGCTTCCAACAGGGCCCTCCGAGGTGCTCCCCTGGCCACCCCAGCTGGGCCCCATGGCCCTGGTGGCAGCAGGACGGCTCCTCACTGGGGCTCTGTGTCCATAGAACACCCGAGGGACATTCATTTCCCTTCTCAGTTTTCTTTTGGAAGCCACCTTCCCTTCTCTTACGTGGACCGATTGGTCGGGGTCCACCCCTTCCCCAGATCCAGCGATGAGCACATCATCCAAGTAACGCCAATGAGAAACAGCTGTGGGACATCTCTGGAACAGTTGGGAAAGCAGATCTTCATTCTGCCTTAGTTACTTGTCTGTTAGGCTTCTGGGGACCATCCCTGCCTTACGAGGAGAGAAACCGCATGAAAACGAAGCCAGCATTGAAGAAAGCAAGAGAAGAAAAGAGGCACGGTCGTCTGTGAATTAGTTTAGCACCAGGATCCAGCCATACCTGAAATCCAAACTCCCCTCTCCTCCAGAGTTTCTATTATAAAAACAAACAAATTCCTGGTTTGGGTTCCAGTCACTTGCGGGGGGAAGGCCTAATTGATAATAAGATGGGCGGCAAGGAGTCAAGTTTAGGTACTTTCCCCTCCAGGGATGTGGGCAGGTGCTTCCTTTCCCAGAAACCACTCCCCCTCTACAGACTCCGGTTGTAAGAGACCTGAGTGTTTGAGGTTTGTGCAACCCGAGGCAGAAAAGCAGAATCAAAGCAGGAGGTCAGAGGTAGAGCAGCTGCAGGAGCAGCCCTGCCCCTGGCAGCAGGAACTGGGAATCTGCATTATTAATAAGAGATCCATTTCCCTTTACTCTTCTCCTTGGGGGGCAGAGCCTTAATTTTATCAGCCTGAGTTTATTAACTCTGGCCACGTGTTCAGGAAAAGCAACCTCAGCCTCTGTGTGGCCCACGCCCGACAGCCTTCTCCAGTCTCTTGTTAGGAATTGTTGCTGGGAAGGGCTGTGCCACTTGGGACCCAGGACAGGTGAGAGGAAACCCCTTGAGGACCGGTCGGCAGGAGGCTTTGGGGGAGGGGAAATGATTTTGCCTTTAGAAAAGCGACCAGGACACAGCAAGGCCCTGAGCAACTCAGTGAGACCCTGTCTCAAAATTTAAAAAAAAAAAAAATCAAAAAAGGGCTGGGGGTGGGGCTCAGGGGTAAAGCATCCCTGGGTTCAATCCCCAGTCTCCCCACTAAAAAAAAAAAAACAACACAGGAGAAAGAAACTTCATTTCCCCTTTGCCAGAGACAGTGTGGCCACGTGGAGAGGCCTTGATTGGCATGGAATCAGACTCTCTCACACTCTCCATCCAAAGCAGACTTACAGCACTCCAGGGCTTTCTCTTTCCCTGCATCCGTGTGGGAGAAGAGGGGGTGGGTGTGACATTTTTCTGGCTTAACAAAGGAAAAACTCACAAATATTTATCCTTTTTGGAGTCTGTGTGCCAATTGAAGCATTATTCCCGGGATGAAGAACTATTAAGACAACACATCAGAATTGCACACTTGGGAAGGTTAAAATTTCCTTTTGCGAGATGTCCCGATGATCTCTGAAGTCCCTGCGGTCCGCAAAGAGCATTTGCCAGAGGAGTTTTATGATGCGGATGATTTTCGGCAGCTGCAAGGAAAGAGTCCATCCTCCCCACCGCATCTCTTTGACATTGCTCTCACTAGCACTCAGAAGAACCTATGATCTTTGAGAGCTAGAATTCCTTTAGTTAGTACCAAGAGCAAAATCAGAGAGGCTACACACTTAGATGAAGGACAGGAAATGGGCAGAGTCCATTTTTAGCCAAAGGAAGTGTCAGGTTGTAAAGTTTTGCATCTGTAGAAAATGATGGCTGGAACTATGGCAGCCATATTGCCACCCTGAGGGATGATCAGGCCAACATGCCCAAAACCCTGAGTCCAGGAAGACACCATTTAATTGATAGCTATAGAGCATCTCCTTACCTTTGTGGAACTAGTTGTTTTGTAAAATAATAAAGGCCTTTAGTTTTTACGATGTTTGGAATGTATTCTTCATTACTTGCAGCCAACTGTGTCTTATATGATACACCTGGGGTGAGTAATGCACACAAGATGGGTAAGCCAGTGTGGCGCAGGAAACTGAGAGGATGGCCCAGTCAGTGGCCCTTACTGGGCATTATCACAGCTGTCTGTGTTGAGACAGACTCCTGATCTCTTCCAGGCCCAATCATGGCCGTACATGACTATGAGGAGCATCACGTAGAAGGGAGTCGTGAATATTTTTTCTTCAGTTCTAACCACCAACCACTAAATTTAATTAAGGTCATTCCCAGAACATGCTACTCATCAACCCTGATAATTCAGCTACAAAGAGATAAAAATATCAGATCAGCAATTGCCTTTGGGGGTGCATTAGGGAGTGGAGATTAACTGGGAAGGGGCAGAAGGTGACTTTAAGGGCTGATGGAAATGTTCTTTATCTTAACAGAAGTGTGTAATACATAAAGGTGTACCTTGGTCAAAAGTCAGCAAGTGTGCATTTAGCTGGGCACAGTGACGCACACCTGTAATCCCAGCAGCTTGGGAGGCTGAGGCAGGAGGATCGAGAGTTCCAAGCCAGCCTCAGCAACTTAGTGAGGTGCTAAGAAACTCAGCGAGACCCTGTCTCTAAATAAAATGCAAAATAGGGCTGGGGGGGTGTGGCTCAGTGTTGGAGAGTCCCTGAATTCAATCCCTGGTACCGCCCCCCGAAGGAAATAAATAAAAATAAAATGGTGTTAAAATTGCATATAAACTTTGCATAAAGTGTCTTTCATACACTTTATTTACTTATTTGCGGGGCTGGGGATCAAACCCAGGGCTTCACACATGCCAGGCCCACACTCGGCCTCTGAGCTCCCTCCCCAGCCCCGTTCCATATGCTTCAACCACGTCTAGCTCACTTCTAATGCCTCTATCAGTCGCTCTTCTACTGCTTTAATTAGGGGACAATGACAGTGGGGAGCAAAAAGGGCTGAACATCTTCAGACCAGATGCAATGGTTTTTCCAGATTATTTCCCATCTCGGACTCCGCAGGTGCAGGCCCCATGGGCATCCTTCGGGCTGAAGCCGACTGCAGTCTGTGTCTCTCTCAGTGACATCCCAGCCAGGCCCTTCTCTCCCAGTGATGTGGCACCCAGAGGCCTCAGTGGCCCGAGACCACCAGCCTACACTGCAGGCCCTGGAAAGGGAAGGCCAGAAGGAATGAAGATTGTCTAAATCGGAAGGTTACAATGAGAAATCAGAGGCCCACACCCTGCCCCGCTGCGGCCCGCCTTGCTCTGGGCGGTTTGCAAGGCTCCTCCAGGTGCCCCTCACGGCCACCCTGAGGTGGGTGCCTTCTTGTTTGCAGATGTGGAATCCCAGCCCCTGGAGAGGGTGCACAGTGTCTGCAGGGAGCAGCGGGTATGAATCAGAGTCGCCCCTTCCAGTCAGGAAGTCAACAGAGAAGGCTTTGTGGGTGACAAGGATGAGTCAGAAGAGCCACAGAGACATCTGGTTAGAAAAGCCTAACGGCAGGAGCCGGCTGCTGTGGGCCTGGGGAGGAAGGAGGAGGGACAGGGAGGACGGGTGGCAGCACCAAGCGGCTGGCCGGCCATTCAGGCTGGAAGGCCACAGTCACAGGCTCGGACTCCAGAGCATTCCCCTCACGACCCCAAGCATCACCACAGCCATACCCGTGAGTGTCCCATCCTCCCCACGGTGTCCCAGCAGAGGGACAATAAAATAAGAGCAGGGGACTGAGGTTTGGGGACTAGCCTTGGGGCACAGACCTCCTGCCTGCAGGAGGACTCCAGCTTGGAAGGCCTGGAATATTCCGTATGGACGCGTGGAATGTTCCTTTAGGGGGGCTTTGCCGGTGTCCTCCCGAGGGTTGACTGAGACACAACCACCTGCACCAGGAAACCGGACTGAGGCGGGTCTGGGTGTGACCTCGCTCCACACCCAGGGGGATGCAGGCAGATCAGGTGACCCCGTGACAGACCACTGCCCTGGGGACCTCGGGGACCTCTGGGACCTCTTGCCATGAGCGATCACTGCAGAGGAGGTACAAACCAAACATGGGACCCTCACTTGGATCGCAGCTGCACTGACCCCAACCCCAGTTGGAGCGGACGGCAGGACCCACACCCTCACCCATGGGAAGCCCCGCCTGCCGCGCAGGCGTGTTAAATGCCTAAATCTGCAACATGGGGATAGTGGTGGCATTTAGTGGAGAACCCACAGAGGGGTTAGGACACGTATGAGCCCGTTCTAACGTCAGCTCTTGTGAAAAATAGAATATGGCCTTGATTAAAAAAGACAAAAAAGGGCTGGGGGGCTGGGGCTGTGGCTTAGTGGTGGAGCACTTGCCTAGCATGTGTGAGGCCCTGGGTGCAATCCTCAGCACTGTGTATAAATAAATGAATAAGATAAAGGTCCATCAACATCTAAGTATTTTTTTTAGAGAATTTTAATATTTATTTTTTAGTTCTCGATGGACACAACATCTTTGCTTGTATGTGGTGCTGAGGATCGAACCCGGGCCGCACGCATGCCAGGCGAGCGCGCTACCGCTTGAGCCACATCCCCAGCCCCAATCTAAATATATATATATATATATATATATATATATATACTGAGAGCCACGGCCGAGTCTGTATGGCCCCTGGCATTTTGTCGGCCGTGGCTCTCAGTATATATATATATATATATATATATATATATATATATATATATATATATATTTTTTTTTTTTTTTAAATCCAAAGCTGGATACTATGGGGTAAGCCTGTAGTCCCAGCTACCCCGGAGGCTCAGGCAGAAGGATCACCTGAGCCCAGGAGTTTGAGACCAGCCTGGGCAACACAGTGAGGTCCCATCTCCAAAAGCAAAAAGCACACAGATCAAGAAAAAGCAATAAGCCGCGCACGGTGGCGCACGCCCGTCATCCCAGCGGCTTGGAAGGCTGAGGCAGGAGGATCTCGAGTTCAAAGCAGCCTCAGCAATAGCGAGGCCCTAAGCAACTCAGTGAGACTCTGTCTCTAAATAAAACACAAAATAGGGCTGGGGGTGTGGCTCAGTGGTTGAGTGCCCCTGAGCTCAATCCTAGGTCCCTCCCCCCAAAAAACGAAAGAAGAAAAGAGAGAGGAGAAGAAAACATTTTAAGAGCCAAGAGGAGGGTGGAGACGGGCGTGGAAGGAGAAGGCCGGCAGCAGGTTCAGGTTTCCAGGATCCCCACCGACGGCCACCCAGGGGCTGGTAACAGTCTGACACCCGCCGCGGGGCTGGGAGCCAGTGACCTCTGCCTCCGAGCCTCCGAGCCTCCGTTTCCCGCCCTTCCGAGGCCGGAGCCCCGGAGCCCCGCAGCAGGGGCCCTCTGCGGGCAGCGTCTCTCCACTGGGAAGGCGGCGCTGCGTTCCCGGGTTCGCACTTGGCAGACAAATCAAAAAGCTATAAATAGGCGCATCTCGGTTTCTCATAAATGCGTTAAAAGTTCCTTGGCGTCCTGCCCAGGCTTCCTGTCAGGGCGCGGGGCGAGGAC